CCCCCCACCAAGGGGCAAGGTGCTGGGAGGAGGTGGCTTGCCCCCCCCTTCTCACCCACACATCTTCCTTGCTCTATCTGTCAGACCAGCTGCTGTACCAGGCCGCCTCCCCTGACGAGGAGGCCCTGGTCACCGCTGCCCGGAACTTTGGCTACGTGTTTCTGTCTCGGACCCGGGACACCATCACGCTAGTGGAGTTGGGGGAGGAACGGGTCTACCAGGTTCTGGCCATGATGGATTTCAACAGCGTTCGCAAACGGATGTCAGTGCTGGGTGAGCCCCGGGCCCCTTCCCGCCACTCCTGGTCCTTGCAGCGGTGGCCGGGCAGACCCCAGGACCTTACCTTTCCCATCCCACAGTCCGAAACCCAGAGGGCTCCATCTGCCTCTATACCAAGGGCGCTGACACAGTCATTTTGGAGCGTCTTCACAAGAAGGGTGCCATAGAGGCCACCACGGAGGAAGTCTTGGCTGTGAGTCCCCTGCTCAGAGGCCAGGGTACATTCGTGCGGACAGTCCCATGCGTGTGGGCATCGGAGGTGTTTCCCCCTGTCCCGCTCTCCACCCCGACACAGAAGTTGAAAGGCCCTGAGCTCTGCACACAGGGATGACCAGCGGGTGGCTGGTCTGACCTTGGATGTCCCCCTCCGTCCCCTCCGCTCGGCCCCTCCCCAGGCTGGGCTCTGGGACCCTCTTACGTTTCTTCTCTGTGGAGGAAGCGGGGTCTCCTTGTCTCGGGGGTGAGGCTGTGTCTCCTCTCCTGCTGTCCCGTATCCCTTGGTCTGTCTTCCCTGTCTGGCCAACCCCGCCTTCTCACTTCCCACATTGCCTGACCTTGTGCCTCGTGACGGCTGTTATTAATTTCTTTTATTCCTCGACTCTCAGTCTCCGGCCCCCACAGCCAGGGACCCTTCTGTCTCTCACAACACTCTTTGCGCTCAGTCCACTGCTGTCTGGTGTGTCCCTGGTTCTGCAGGCCTGGGAGTGTCTGTGCGTCCCAGGGCTTTGCTGAGGATTCTCGAGTGCCCTTCTCTGCCATGGGGAGTGGGGACCCAGGTCCTTCAGAATGAGGCCCAGGCCCAGTGCACAAGCCTGTCTGAGGCGCCCACCCCCCAGAAGACCCAGTGTGCCATCCAAGCCTGACTTTCCACCCCGCCTCACACCCATAAGCCAACAGCCACGGCCGTAACAGGATAGAGGGACATGAGAAGCATCTGGGCCCCTTTTCCCTGGACCCCTGGCCTCCAGGAGTGAAATGTTCAGATCTACCTGAGGGCCTGAGAGAGGGAGACCTGAAAGTTTACCACCCCCACCCCCTCACGGCAATGTGAGGAGGAGTCCTAGGACTCGGGGCGGGGGAACCCCGAGTTGGATAGACTGCCACGTAGTACGTGGGTGTAGGCTGGAGGACCTTAGCACCTACTGAGCAGCTGGGGAATGGACATACGAACAGCTGCTTTTCCAGCACTGGAGAGCTGAGGCAGGAGACGAAGGAACTCAGGCTAGCCTGGGCTATCAAGTCAAAAAAGAATGGGTGTTAGCAGAGATTGCTGCCAGTGCAAAGGTCTTTTGGCACGAGGGTGCTGTGATCGGGGGGACCCTGAGGGCAGGGTGGAGGTGTTCATGGTCGGGGCTGCCACAGGCCTTTGCAGAGCAGACCCTGCGCACCCTGTGTCTGGCCTACAAGGAGGTGACGGAGGACACCTACAAAGAGTGGGAATCGGAGCACCAGGAGGCCTCCCTCTTGATGGAGAACCGCGCCCAGGCCCTGCAGCAAGTGTATAACAAGATGGAACAGAACCTGAAGGTGGGTGGACAGACAAGGAGGCGGCCTTGCAAGCTGGGCTCCTTGCACCTGGGCCTTGATACCTGAACCTGGGCTCGCCTCCCCCAGCTGCTGGGAGCCACGGCCATTGAAGACAAACTGCAAGATGGAGTTCCTGAGACCATCAAATGCCTCAGGAAGGGAAACATTAAAATATGGGTGCTGACCGGGGACAAGACAGGTGGGTTCCTGGCTCTGCTGGCCCAGAATCCTTGCTGCACCTGGGGTTGTCCCGCTGGCCGAGGGCCCCTCAGCACTGTCCTCAGGAGTGGGATACGTGCTACGGGCAGCCCCTGTGCCCCGGGACAGTTTCGTTGTGACCACCACACAACCGGGTGGTAACCCGATCACAGTCTTGGAGACACACCTGCCCTGAGGTGCCCTCCTGGCCCCGGGTCAGTGTTGAGGGGATGTTCTGGGTCCCCTCATATCCCTGTATAGACATGTCCACTTTGACAATTTTTGAGGTTTTAATTTTTGGTTATTTTTGTTTTGTTTTCAATTTATTATTATTTTCCTTCTGCCTTTCAAATAAATTTGACAGGTTCGTGTTGAGTCAAAGTGTGGCGGGTCTCAGGATTCCAGCCTCCACCCCACCTCCCTCCCGAGTACCTCAGGCATCTCCATCTCCTTCAGACTCCCCAAGCCCAGCAGCCAAAGTCCCCGGGGCCGCCTCTGATTGGCCAGCTCTGTTATCTCACTCACACACACACACACACACACACACACACACACACACACACACACAC